TGGAGGAAAAATAGCACTCGAGAATTGGGGTGTCTTTGATAGACTGAAGTCAGATACGGTTTATGTGTTGCAAAATGAGCCAACTTAAAAAAAAAAATTAGAAAATCCTCTCTTTTTTTGCCTAGCACTAAGCAAACCTGCAGCCACGAGGGTCCTTCCTTCCCACACCCCCTCCCCAGCTTTACCTTTCCCTCGGGGTGCTCTGCCTCTGCAAGAGATAGTCAGGGTTGCACACAAATAGCTTGATTACAGATGCATTATTTTATTCTCTCTTCTACAGACCACGTAGCAAGTGGCATTTGGGCAGCTGGCGGGGATTTGGCTCTCAACTCGGGACGTTCAGCTTCTGAGCAGGGCAGCGAGCAACAAGCAGTGCTGGGAGCTTTGCAGTTTATAGCCATGCCTCGGCCTTCCGTAGGGAAACTTCCAAGCTCATGTACACAGGGGCTTTGACAGAAGGGGGTTCTGCCTCAAGTCTTCATCAGTCACCTTGAAAGGTATGTTTTTCCCCATAGGGTTGCTGTAAAAAGACCAAACAAACAAACAAAAAAATCCAGAAGAAAAGCTCTGATCTGGAATTGCGTCTCTACGACATTTTTACAAGTGATTTCGTGGGTGTTTCTGTTTTTATGCCAAACTTGATATTTTAGATGAGTCTGAGATTTCAGGGAATCCTGAGAATGGAAATCTAGAAAAACCTGGGTTGGAGGGGACCTCTGGAGTCAGCCCCCTGCTCAGCTTAAGAGGAGAGTTATCCTGGGCTTTACCCCAAACCAGATATCTAGAAACAAAAGGCATAATTAACAGCTTCTGGTTTATGTTCTCATTATTAGAAGTATTTCATAGAATGTTAATTGTTTATTTTAAAGGTTTTAGGAGGGGGCGTACTTTTTCCTTTCCATTCTTTATATTTAGGACTGCAAGAACCTTTCATACAGCTTCTTTTTTTTGTAAAGTAAAATCTCTCAAACAGCAATAAAACTTGTATAGTTTTAGCAAGTTGTATCACTCTCCACAAAATATGCTAGATTTGAACCTTTATGGCCTTGGTTTTAAAGCCACTCTGAAGGCTTCTTTTAACATCTACAATATATTCCCTATATAGCTTTTAAAATATGATGTCTGTAGATCTGCTTCTGGTTGAGCCAGTGGATGTTTCAAATAGGATAAGAAATGCGAGCGTACATGCAGTACTGTGCACAGAGGTGGCAGATCATTCCAGAGGGTGCAAATTGTCACGATTGCTTATTTCCCTCTGCTACTTTCTGACTTTAAAATATTATCACCTGCTTATATGATCAGAGAGTTTGGATCTAAGTGCATTGTAATGTGAATATGAAATGCCATCACCAAATTTTTGCACCACTATTCCACTGTTTGATTTATTATTTTTTTAATGGAGAAGAGTACTTTTCACTAATATGAATTTCCACAAATTGGATATACTTTAAAATATTTGCTCAGATGTTTTCTGCAAGAGCTCCTCTCTAAAGAGTATTAGTACTCCAAGACAGGCCCACTGTTCTTATATTTTGCCAGAAGACATAGGCTCTTACACATGAGTTGGTCATCCTGAATCTTCCAAGGATATCATAGATTATCCTGCACGAGTAGGACAAAAAAGAATAAGATTGCAACACAGTGAACAAGAATTGCTTCTGTGTAATATTGCAAGAGGTCATAAGCAATCAGACTTTATTGAAACAAGCAGGAAAAGCGATAACATGTTTACAATGCGTAAGCAAAAATTATAATCAATCCTATAATAAATATATAAACGTCATATAGGATCTAATCCAAGTCTTTTGAAATCTCAACATCTCTTGGTAAAGAATAAAGGCAACAGTTTGGCACCAGAACATAAATCCTGGGCTGTGGGATCGTAATTCCTGGACTGCAAACCTGGTGTCTATCCTGTTGAGGTATTTTACGTACTAAGCTGCAAATCCTCCACTTAAAATTTGGTTTTATTCTCTTTTACCAAGGGAGACAACATTTGCAGTACCAATTCCAGAAAACACCCACCTACATTGGCTGGAGTCTGTCTGGCATTCGTGCACTTTTTCTGGACGCGGGGTTTGCTCCATCGTTTGCTCTTTTACAGGGTTCAGACCAGCCCGAATTGGCGTTGCTGTTAGGTTTCCTATGGTGCTTCTTTCTTCTCCTTAAAAGCAAAAACATGTGCATGCAACAGAGGGAACATCTCCTCTAATGCCTGTTTAAATATACTAGCATGTCATAAGAGACACTGGATTAGGCCCATTATTTCCCAATTTCATGTTTGTGAATAAGGTATTTCCACTCACTGCTGTCATCGCTGAAGGTTTTTTGTCCCTGCATTTATCTCTAGGGACACACTATGTTATAGAATAAGATATATATGCACGTATTTTTGAAAATCAGTCATTAGCAAGCATTTGTTGGGCAAGTCTTTGCCAGCTTTGCGCTGAGCGGGCTGGATTCAGCCCCAAGAAGCTGCCCAGCACGTAGCTGCTCATGCCGTGCAGGTCCCTGCCCTTTATACTTCAATATTTCCGAGCACTCATGGAGCTATAAATCCTCTATACACAAAAACTCAACCTTGCTTTCAGCAGGGCTTCAGAATTTCTGTTTCCTTCATTTGCTTTTTGTTTAAGCCTATTAAAAAAAAAAAAAAAGGCAACTTCTCTGCGACATTGCTTGCTTGCAAGTACAGTTGCACTTTCAGGCTGCACTGGCTGCAGAATGGATGCGTGTCTCCAGAGATGGAAACCTTCAGTGGGTCAGACTCCAGCTCCTTGAAATCACGAGCAAAGCCATTGCAAAACAACAACCGCAACCCGAGAGGTGTTGCCTGGCCAACTTACCTGTCTCCTTTTGAAGCTTTATTTTGGTCAGGGCGAGAATAGTGATAGTGATGAAAATCAGTAAAATGAGAGCTGGTAACACAACTGGGAGCAGGTGTGAGTCACCTGATGAGCTGGAAAGATGAACCATCAGAATTAAATTGGATTTTGACTTGGCTACGGGGTGTCTGAAGCAACTTAATGCAGACTGTTGTTTTTACACCAAAGATTATAAAGGAGTTATACACTCTGACTAGATCAATGGAGAACAGTCAATACAGTCAAGTAGAGGTGAAATCATCTGATCTGGAGCTTGGCTTATGAGGAAGTTATTTCTACAGCTACCTTTGTTCTACCTTGTGGGGTTTATGCTCCCAGCAGAATGAGCTCCTCCAAAAGGAAAAATGAGCTATTTTCATCATACAAATTCACAAGCAAGGTTCATACTCTTTCTTTGTGAGTTGTTGTAGACTCTCATTCTGTTGGAGGGTATCTACGTGCCATCTCCTTGCAAAAATGATACAAACGCTATCAGAGCTCCACAGGCAGGCAGAGCTTTGCCAGGAATGGTGCAAAATCTGACCCTTTATACAAAAGCATGATTCGTGACTGGTAACGTGCTCTCCCCTCCTCTTTCTGGCTGGATAGAAGGGAGATACAGCTTGAGGGAGGCTGGGGATGGAGAAGACTGTGCTTCTCGTGCTGGGGGTCACTGGGGCAGGTGTGAGCTCTGAGGTACATAGAGGGACAGCTCAGGATATCGAACTGGATTTGTGGACTTTGTGGTTTATCTTCAGTTATGACTGATACCGCAACATCTGATGCATCTGCACCAACTATACAAATCACTTCACCTGGTGCTGGATGGTGGCCATAGCTGGGGTGAAAGGTGTAAGAGCTGCTCACAGCCATCCTGTGTAACAGGAATCCCAGAAGGTAAATTCCCTGGGGAAACCACTTGCACTGGGGTGAGCCACAGGGCCTGCTGTGGAGAAGTACCATGGAATAATTACTGGCCAAAATAACTCATAGCCTTTTGATTAACCTTGTCCAAAGATAGCTCCTTATGCAACACAGAGCACCTAAATGCTACCTGGGCTACTGGCTGCCTATAGGGGCTTGGATAACGTGTGCAGTGAAGTATGTAGCAGCTACTGATTCACCAGCGTTATTGCTCAAGCCTAATGTTTCCTAATGTCCTGTCTCCATACCAAACAAAGGAAAACAGACAGGAGCACATCTATTGACCCTGGCATCTGATCTACAGGAGTGGCCAGCACCAGAAGATTTAGAGACGAGTTCAAAGATACATGCCACAGGTGGACATGAGATAACCTTGCCTTCTGCTTCTCTAATTTCTAATGTCTCCTATCGGTGTTTTCAACTTGCAACCTGTGCACAACCTATGTAGGGCCTGGGGGAAATGGGGCAGACAGGTCGTAAACCACCAAGTTGGTGCCAGCGAGAAATGTGGCCATGAACTTACCTCTCGTGATAGATTTTGCTTGGGGAGGTTACAGAGGTGCTGGGGGGGTTAGTGGGCAGCAGGGTGCTGGTGCTCTCGGTCACAGTGCCCATCGCATATGCCAGGCTCGTGATGCTCCTCTGTGTGGGCGCGCTGTAGGTGGACAGACTTGATAAAGTGGGTTTCACAAAACTGGATGTTTCCGGGTGTTGTGAAGAGCAGGTTTCTGTGGAGAAAACTATTTGGAAGCTTGAATATCCATCTTTTTGCAGAGGCAATGTGTTAAATTTACCAAAGATTTACGCATTTCACCTGGCATCTGGGCATGAAAAAATATGCTGCATGATATGACCAAACACAAGCATTTCTATTTTCCTTTGTGTCTTATAGAAAGCCGCTTGGGCGTACTAATGAAAATGCATTAACATCTGGCAAACTTTCATACTTTAACCCCGCTATTTCTGTCTTTGCCAGCTGAACAGTTACATGGATCTGTGTGTTTGCATGCCACAGTTTCTAAAGCTCCATGATAACCTTCAGCTTATCTTCAAAGCAAAGGACATGTCTCTGCGCTGCACTTGGTAGGATCAGGATATCATATGCTAGGGGTTTGTTTCATAAATAATCAATAATATAATTCAAACTAACTAAATTTCCTCTGAAAGCTCAGCTTACATCCCTGCCTCTGAAAACCTTCACCTTCACCTCAGTTACTTGCCAATAACTGGAAGGCAAAATGTATAGCTGATGTTTCTCATAATGTTGTTATATTTATGCATAGTACAGAGGAGAGTCTATTCTCCTCATGTCCATGAAGGGGTAGAGGAAAGGCTGATTTAGAAAAAGAAAAGGGATTTATTGTGTTCCAAGCCACTCCACCACCTACCCTTCTGGATGCGCAGCTTCATGGAGGATGTGTGCTCTGTGTGCCCGTTTTTAGCCCCGCACCAGTACCATCCTGCATCCTCCTCTCTCAGGTGGCTCATCACCACGGTGTAAGTCCCATTTTCCTGGTTGCTGCTGGCTATTCGTATTCGCCCTTTGTAGGACTCGTGCACAAACCCATTCCCATCCACAAGCAGTGAGCAGCTAGCTTCCTTCCACCTGCACAAGTACTTCTTCTCGTAGTTCCCTTTGGGATCATAGTGGCACTTCACGGACAGTGAGCCTCCGACTGTGCCGCTGAGAAATTTTGGTCTCTTGGGAAGGGTGGAGGCTGCAGGATGGAGAGGACACTGTTAGCATTTCACGCTCCTCATCCGGGGCTGCGAGGAGCCCACGCAGCACGTGCAGCCCCCAGTGCCCCGTCCTACCTGTGGTCACCTGCAGAGCCACCATCCGCGGGCTGTCCTGGCCGCTGAGCCTTCCCGTCCCGCACCTGTACAGCCCCGAGTCTTCCTTTCTTAAGTCATTTATCAAGATTTTGAAAGCTCCAGAGCTCTCCTGAGCGGTGATAAAGATTCGTCCTTGGTAACTCTTTCCCACGTAGCCATCGGAGTCGGCTATGAGAGTGCAGCCGGTTCTCCCCAGTTTGCACCAGAACCTCTTCTTGCTGCCTTGGGTGTCCCCAGGTGGGCACAGGACCGTGACAGAGCCGCGGAGCTCTCCCTGGACGAGCTCGGTCGACCCCAACGCACCGGCATCTGGAGGGAGAGAGCACGGCAGGCACCGTCGGGCACGCAGCCCCCAGGCAGGCGGGAGGGAGTTTCCTTTTACTTTTATGAACAGCTGATTTGGCCAAATCTGGGTACTTTTACACCCCATCGTTGTAAATATCTGGTTAATAGCACAGGGTAGAAAAAGTCTATATGCCTGCTGTGCGCTGATGCTCCAGCATCTGTCCCCAGACCACTCCCTGCGAGCTGGGCTGCCGGCGGAGCGGAGCCTCCCCTCTCCCCTGCCAGTATCCTACCTGCCAAAATCGTCAGGTTCAGGCTGACGTACAGGTCTCTGTTGGTGGTGCCGATGCCGCATCGGTAGGTCCCCGTGTCGCTCTTCTTCAGCTCTGTCATTGTCACCGTGAAGGTGCCTTTCTGGGGGATGTCCTCGAGAGACACTCGCCCCGCGTGGGCTTTTGAGATGTAGCCGGTTGTAGAAATGATGGTGTAGCAAACTCCGTTTCCTGCTATTCTGCACCAGTATTTTCGGTCATATTTGTTGGCTGGTATGATAGAGTAGAAGCACTGATGGGTGACCGATCCTCCAATCTCACCTGCCAAAAACCTGGATCCGTACAAGGTGCTTGAAACTGGCTCTTTTGGGGAAAGAAAGAAACAGAAGTTGTTGGTTACTCAGACATAACCAGCTCCTCGCCTGGCAAAAACCAGCATAGCTCCTTCCAGTCGGGTCGTGATTATGAGTGGCACCAGTGGGACATCTGGCTCAGAAGGTTCAGAGTTTATTTTGGATGTGGTGTGTTACCTTCCTTGAATGCCATATTGTCCACTTGAGGATAACTGGTGGCACAGAGCCACTGCCCTGTGTCACGGCACAGATGGGGAAGCCCTCGATGCCCCAAACCCCCATCAGCCCCGACAGTCCTGCCTGGAGTTAAATGTCAAGGGCAGCAGTTAACGGCAAACATTTAAGAATAACCTTTGGCATTTGCAAACTCTGCCTGATCTGGCAACTTTCTTCTCCCTCAGGTGCATTGCACAGGCACAAGCGGCTCTCTGCAGTGCCGAGAAATTGGAGAGCTGGGATTCTCCTTCCCAGCTCTCGCCATGCCTTTGCTAGCTCTCTGCAGACTTCTAGTGGGCAGGGAGGTTTGACCAGTTTTCGTTTTGCAGGTGGACGTGACTAGTGTCCAAGTGGGGATTTAGCCAGGGACGTGGCCGTGTCCCCAGTTCCTGCTTTGCCTGTTCCCATCAGTGTAAGAGGCTGCAGACTGGTTTCTTAGTGACTCACCTTGCAGCAAAGCTGCTAAGAGAAAGAGAACCGCCATGTCCAGCCTTCACAAACGTTTGCTCGGCAAGCTTCAAAAACCTCACGTTGGGTATGGGATTTTGCTGATGTCTGTGTTATCAAACAGAAGAGAGAGGTTGTGGCTGGGATTTCCCAAGGTAAACCACCCCGTTCAGAGCAGAGCACCTGTGTCCCTGCTGGCTCCCAGCCCGTGCCATGGCCTAGCCCAAAGAAAAGGGAATTTTAAAAAGAAAAAAGGCACTCATAGCGCTCTGCAGCTCTCGCACTCCTGCATTAAATCCTCCGTCGTGTGGGTGGGATGGTTACTAAAGGCATTGCTGGTAACAGCAGGTCAGTGGCAGCCGACAGCCGGGGCTCTCTTGGGCTGGCGAGGGACCTGTTGCGGTGCTGCGGCTGAGCCGGGACACCGCGGTGACCATGCAGCAGCCCCCGCCGGCACTGCTGCGGTCTGCTGGGCTGGGCTGCGACCTGCACAAGTGCCTGCATGTACAGAGGCGTTCAGGGATTGCTTTGGCGGTTGCCAAACCCGGCACCGGGCAGCCAGCAGCAGCCCTGAGACATGGCACTTGGTCCTACCCAGCCAGCCATCTGCAGACCTGTGGCATCAAGCCCTGTTTTCTTTTCTTTTTTTTTTTTTTTTCAGCTCAAGAAACAATAGGAAATGCTGCAGATCTTGGGAATGCCAACATACTTAAGCATCTCCTGCCACGCCCCAATTATCTTTCTTCCTTTTTTTATTTTTCTTCCCAGAAATTTATCTTTATACAGATTGTTGTTATCCATTTTCAGATCTGAACAGAAACAGTGGTTGGGTGTCTCTATTTCAGATAGGAATTACTTCCTTGTTTGAGTTAAAAAGTGACTGTTGATTACTGCAGTGTTTTATCCTAAAAAGTCTTTACTGATATTCTTTGTTTGAGATTTGCCTGACCCTCACTGCAGTTAAAACCTCGTTAGGCGCAAATCACGTGGTTGATTTCATGCTTGTTTGTGCATCAGAAATCACTTCAAAGCATTCAGGAAATATGAGCAAGGAAACGACAGAGGCTCGGTGCCATACTGAGCCTTATTCCCACCCGCCATGGTGCCCAGCTGAGTCCTACCAGCTACTGCTGGCGGCAGCATCCTGGGCTGGATGCCCACGGGAACCCGCTGCTCGCCCACCCTCCATCCCTTCGTGCTGCAGAGGAGCAGGAGATGGGCTCAGCCCTCGCACCGCTCGCTTGCTGTGCCTTGCACGCCCTGTGTTGGGGACGATAGGCATCTCCCCCAGCTGTGAAGTCCCAGCTTGCAAACTCAGCTCCGGTCCAGCTCTCCCCTTCTGCTGATAGGAGGGGTGGGACGGGACGGCAGAAGTGCTCTCTTCCCTTTCCAGCACGGGCTGAAGCACTGCGGTGGTGCAGCTGGCACAGCATCCTCTTCAGGCAGGTTCCCCTCCAATTTTTCCCCCACGTACAAAGCAGTGGAGGCAGCTCTGCTGCGGAGATGTGTGTGTATCTGTGCACAGCTGGCTGACCACATCTGCCTGCGCAAACCAGCTTTCTGTGTCCTCAGCAGGCAGCAAAGACGACGTTCGAGTCACCCCAGCTCTGTGTAGCTTGATGCTGGGCAGTGGCTTCAGCAGAGCCTTGGTAGTTTCCTCCTTGCAGCTGGACAGAGACTGGACAGGTGACTTGAAAAACGGTGATTTTTATTCAATGGCATAATGCCCACCAATCTGGAGGACTTGAAGCAAGGAGGAGCTAACAAGAGTGCCCTGGAAGAGCTGGAAGTCCTTATTTACATCCAGAAATCAGGAAAAATGTTATCCCTATGCTCATTTAATCTTTTCTGATCCACACCACTACAGCTCAGCCAGCGCACTCCCTCTTTTCCACATTTTTGGGCTAGGGGCATGGGGACAAGTGCTGCCATGCTGAAAGTAATAAACCAGTTGCCAGTGTGCCAGCTGGAGCCCAAAATTTCACCATGTGCTGGCCGAGCTGATGTGATCCTGATGTTCAGGTTAACATCTGAATGAGGCTTTTTTCCTAAGGAGATGTATTCTGGGCTGGCATTAACATGCTAAATTCTCCCCAGCATCAATCCATTAACAAAAGAGATGGGAAGTGCCTACAAGGTCCTTGCCTCGTTAGGTGGTGGGTGCCACGCTTACACAATCACCCAGCTGCTGTCTTTTAAGATCAATTACAACTACTTCACAACCCCCTTAATTCATTCCTTTTCCTCCCCTGCAACAACGAGCAGCACGTTAGCAAAGAGCCTTGCAGAACGTGAACTGTGCCTGCCCTGACCACCGCGAAGGCCTTTCAAGCTGCTAACAAGGAGATCTTACTTTTTCCAGGAGAAAAACTAGTCCAATTATCTTGGGTAACTTCAGCTGAGCCCTAGCCGCACTCATCCAGCCTGCAGCAATAAAACTGCCGTTCCTGGGGCATTCACAGCATCTGCTGCGTTGGACAATGAGCGATTTGCCGGCAAGAGATGGTGGCTGATGTGCAGGAAGGTCTGTGAGCAGGTAGCTGGCCCACATTGCAAATGATTTATGGGTTAGATGGAAGCTAAAATAAAGCACGTTCAGCTAGGTCTTTCTCACTGCGTGTCTGCTCTTGCAGCGTTGTTGGGTTACTGAGCTGCTTTACCTGAGCTCTCCATGGGGTCTGTATGAAAATGCCCATAGAGGGTGAGCACGGATGTAGGAGAGTGAACTTGGTTTCCTATCTGCAGGACAGAGCTGTCAGCTAATTTTAATCTCATCTAATCTTAAGCTTTAGGCGAGGAGGTGTTTTGCATTGAGGTTTTTTTAACCAGCAAATAGGCATTTAAAAAAAAAAGGCAGAAAGTGAAAAGAAAGAGCTAGAATTATAAATTCCAGAAACGCAGGCCTTACTAAGAAGTAAACCATGTATGGTTGCGTTTTTTTTCCTGTTTTCATTTCAGTTTTGTATTGTGAAAATGTTTATATGATCAATTTTCAGCACCTGTCTCATTAAACCATTCTTCTGCCACGGTCCAAAGTAAACTAGCTGCTGCTACATAACTCTGTGTGGGCTTGCGTAAGACCTCACCTTGTTCACATAATTTTTGTATGTGTTCTTGGCAAAAAAGCCAGTAATCTAATTTATAACTTTAAAAAGGAAAAAAAAAAAGCACACTACCTTTAAAAAAAAAATCACCATAAATAAGTTATACTACATTTATTGCTATAGAAATAATCATTTTAAATTTCTGATCTGTTACATATCGTAGATGAAATCCATCAAAGTAACTCATATAATTGCTGTACAATAGCACTGCAACCCAAACAATAGTATTTTAAGGGCACATTGAGGATTACCTACCTTAAATTGTGATGCTTCTGTTGCTGGAAATTTTCTCCTGCTCTGCCTCCAGTTTGTATTTAGTTTAATAAAGCGTTCTTTGCAGCTTGCAGTTCAGTTAGTCCTTGCTTGGCTCTTGATGTTTAATTCTTTTTCTTTTGTATATTGATGTCCAGAGTTTAGAAACAGATGCACTAAAAAGTTCCTTAAGTCTAGATGTGCATTGCTGACCAAATTGGAGATGGTCAAAATACTTACAGGAATAGCAAAGGTGCCGCCAACATACTGCCTATGGAACCCAAAAATGGTCATTTTTAGCCACCTAATGATGTGGGTGACATACGTCATGGAAGGGGGGGCGGGAAGCGAAGAGGCCAGGAGTAGAAATTGCAAGAGTTTGAGAGGAGTTCCCCTGCTCTATAGGCAACTTGCAAACTTTTAACACAAAACAACTGTTTCTAAAGAATAGTAGTAAATTCTAGTTGCTGCGAACCACTTCCAGGCAGAACTTCACATAAAGCAAGAACTTTGTGCATGTTTCCTCAAAATTCTGTGGCTTGAATGAACCTGAATGCTTTATGTAGCTCATGCCTGTCTTTTGATCCCATACACTTTATGAAATACAGGACAAAAAGATGGTTTCTGCTTCAAAGTCTGTTGTAAAACGATCCCTGCAATGAGAACGAAGCAAGTGATAATGCCACGGTGGTACAAGTGCTGCTTAGCCAACAAATACATTTTTTTAGCCTGGTCTTGTTTTTCCCTGTAATACCTGCTTTGCACTGCAGAGCATGCTCAGGTGCCTCTTCCACAAGGACATCGCCTTCATAACCGGCAAAGCCCCAGTAACCCTTCGCAGTTCTATAAAATGAATGTTCAGGCTCCTGCCCAAGGGTTGGCTTGTTTGTTTTCTTGCACTGCCAGTCCCTGCTTGTGGGGCTTCGTCCTGCAGAGTCATCTTGTGACTCTCACTGCAATTTTCTCCTCCGGTGTGACAGTCCCCCTGCAAGGTCTGGAAGCGGACAGGAACTGGTACTGGGAAGCTCAGGGCACTGGTGGTCCGCCGCAGCTCGGGTGTTACCCGAGAAGAACAAACCAGCCCAGCTCCACAGTGATAAACACTTGCAGGCATTCCTGCTGTAATTCCCAGGAAGGCAGTTTCAGTTATCATTTTCTCCCATTAGCGTGATTGTATCAGATCATCGCAGCATGGCCTGGTTGAGCTGAGTCGCCAAGCAGCTAAACAGATCAAAGCTGAGAGATCAAGTCGGCGTATCATTAAGGCGCAGGGGGTTTACCTGAAAGTATCTTTAAACGCGCTCAATAAGTTGTCATTTTGTGGTGATTAATTTCTCTCTAAATTTAATCTTGCAGCATTTTAACCATTGCATACTTAAAGTTTGTCAGCTGGCGGGTTGCGTTGCCACAGGAAAGGCACCATCATCCATCACCAAACCCAGAGCTCTGCACAGGTACGACCAAAACCCAGGCATGTTCATCATGAGCAATTACGGTTTGTTCTGGGATAATGGCCGTGCTCGTTGCCTCACAGCATCTGAAGATGTAACTAAGGGCAGTTTTTTCATGCACACACACAATTCCTCTTTTGCACTGACCAAATAATCTTGAGAAGTGTAGACATGGTGATAGTTATTTCAAAACTATGTAGGCATAGTAACAGTTGTGTTATTGCAAGGGA